TATACTTTCAAAATATTACCAAAAAAAGTCTTCTATATTTTGGCTGGCTCCATTGAAAACTTTTCTTAATTCATTGTTATACAAGTGCCCACACCACCCAATAGAGTCCTGCTAAAAAACTCCTTCAGAGGTTTCCTTTTGTGAGTAGTGTCAATAAAGTAAGAACAAGTTTAAATAGCTTCTTTTATCTCAAGCTGTTTTATTAGGTCCCCTTTGCCACTGAAATTTTAGAAATACACATAACTTTAAGCCCCTTTTTTACATTTTGAGTAAAGAGAAATGTACTTTTTCCCATTTTGTATGCTTAGATTTTATGAAGCCGTTTTATATTTACTTAAATATAAGTAAACAAATCACTGAAGTTTACTAGTGGAAGGAAGTAGTTTTTGGACATGTTTAAATATTTTATAATTGAAATGTTTTACTAAGTTCATACTATTACAGAAAATACATAAAACTATAATACTATAATAAAACTATAATAAAATGCATAGCATTGTTTGGTTAATATACGCAGTCATGATAATTTTATTCAATAATATTTTGTATACTACCCATTATGTATAGAACAATAATTAAACCAAAACCACATTTGTTAATAGTGCATTTACATTTATAAACATTGCTAATCAAAAGGTAATGTATTTCTTATATCGTTAAAACGTTTCCCATTTACATTATGAACTTAAACCACACTTGCATAACTTGTAAACATTATCCTCGGAACTTAAACAACATATTATCCAGGACTAAGCGATGAACTTACCCGTTTTTTATGAAAGTTTTTACCTTTCCAAAATTGATCGAATTGTTACTTTAAGGTATTACTTACAGTATTAAGAACTAAAAGTACTATAAGTATAAAAATTGTGTTAGTTTTAATAAAACGCACATTTAAAACTAATATTATACAGGGTTAGTAAAAGTATGGAGATCCCCAGTTTTTTTTAACGCCCCATACTATAAAAACTAAACTCGGCACACCTTTTAGGCATGTTATGAAGTACCTTTTGGGCGAAACCGCCACTTGGTGTACTTTCCCAAAATGGGGGATATTGGGGAAAACTCAAATATTTCGAATAAAAAGACCCACCGTGCCTTATTTTGAGGGCCCTGGTAAAAGAAAACCAACAACGCAAATTAGAGGTCTCTATCTCAATCCAGTAAAAAAATGGCAGCCAATTGAAATTCTCAGAAGTTAAATTTAACTTACAGCTTTCCAAGTAAGACCTACTGTAAATTTTGTAATGCCTCACACTAGGAAAACTAAACTCTACACACCTTTTTTGAATGTTATGAAGTACCTTTTAAGCCTAATTTAAGCCTTTTATAGCCGCTTGGTTCCCAAACCCAAAATGGGGGAAAATGGGGGGTTAACATTCCTACGATTTTGTTTGGTAGGTTTAAGGAAGTAAAAAAAAGTAAAGAAGTAAGTTTGGTTTGTTCAGATTCTTAAGCATGATAACCATTCCCGCCTTATAAGTAAATCTCCTTATGTGTAAATTGTTCAGTGGTAATTCAAACGTATCTAAAGAGTGTAAGAAGTTAGTTAAATATTTAGTGGCTAGTAAATCACCCCATTGTGTTTTTAGTTTCTTGGGACATCAAATGAATACAAATTTTCCCATAGTATAGGTCTTACGATGAGAGCTAAAGTAATAGATCTTCCATATGTAAGAAATTCACTAAAACGTTGAGCGTAATAATAAAACTACATTTTCAAGATTTAATTAAAATGGTAGAAAATCCCCATTTCTAAAATGCTCTTTTGATAAACAAACAAGTATATTCTGTTCGTATGAAGAGGAAATGTGAAATCCTGTAAGGCCGTCCTCCTTGCCAAACATCAACAAATGTGTTCACAAGTATTACATTATATATTATATTAACACTAAAAGTCACAGTACTATTTAAATTTTTTCAAAAAAAATATATATATTTTTATATATGCCTCATTAATGTCTTCTGGGAAGGTAGCATTATTTAATCTCCAACTTTTAGGGTTAACACACAATTAAAAAAAAGTTGCTTTTACTTTGACATAAAATAATAACTATAAACATTATATTGTTATGCTGGTATCAAAGGGTGAATTTAATTTTGTAAATTCTTCTTTTCGATTCCAGTAATTCGTGCTTTAACAGTTATTAAAAGGCTTCACATATCATGTACCAATTGTTGAATAAATAGTACCAATATTTTATTATTACATGTTTTCATTTAATTAGTTTTATTACACATTTTTGATAGTATTCCATGAAATCATTCTTAGTCATGAAAAGACAATCAGTTGTAATTCATACATCAGTTTCATATTGTTTAACTCCCAAACATAAACACGAAAGAACAATGATTGGGCCTTTGATACTAATTATTATTAATCAATTAAACCTACTCTATTTGTTTTATTCTTAGCAGTTATTAGTGGAATACGCTTGCCTAAAACCGATAATAAGCGTAATGTAATCGGTTAAAATTTAGTTAAACTTTACTATATATATTTGAGGCGCCTATCTGTTGTCTCACCAAACGTTTACGTCAATGCAATACAGAGTTGCAACCACATGTAGTGCACGTGATGTGTCTTTATGATCAAAGTGGAACAGGATGTAGGATTAGGATGGGGATTTTCCACCTTTTGATCAAGGAGCTGCTAGCTCCTGCCACTAACTAAATTATGTATGCGTATATAGCTGTGAGCTATATAATAGTATATTTCATTAGTTATACCGAAAAAGGTGTTTTAAGGTGCTCTTCAGAAAACATCAATAGTTAAAGAGTAAGACCTCGTTTTAATTGTGGAGTAAGTTCAGCCACAAATTTTATTGCTGTAAGCTATAGTGTGGAGCAAGTGTCATAATTATTAGTCTTCTGAAGTTTGCAGACCTTACGCATTTCGTACATAGTGACTTTTGGCTCTTATTTTAACATGTTTACATAAAGATCTGAATTTAAACACATACAAATATGATGTTCATTGTTAACAAAAAACTAAAACACAAAAAATCATAGAGTAAAAATTTGGTTCGTAATGCGTATCAGAACAACAGTACGTTGATGCTGATTTGTAAAGAAACTCTTGTTCTTCCAGAGCAAGCTACCTCTGGGTATGTTTATACATACATGTTTAAATAAATATAAGGTGATGAAAATCCTGACGTTATATAATTAATTTTGATAGCCCCAGGATTGCGTTTTATGACTAATAATGGCAATAATCTACTTTGTCATACAATCCTTAATATTTACGGTAGCGTCGAAATTTACTTGCTACATAATATGTTACGGTAGTTCTTCAACTCCACCATCGTCAGGCTTAAAAAAAGATCCACTTCTGGAGGAGTCGTCAGAATTGTTACAAACATTAAACACAAACATAAAACACGAAACAATAAAATATAAGCCTATCAATTCACGAGTGTACATTGCCGCAGGAATTACTGTAAGTAGACTGAATCAGGTCATAAAGGACCGAGACGTGGTCTCTGGAGTGTCGTCTGCGTTATCAACAGCTGATATTGGACTATTGTGACGGAGTAGAATGTAAAAAAAATCTATTATGAATACCATTGTATTTTCAACCCTCTACTCCGTCGCACAGGTCAGTGTAAGCTCCAGTCAATTCCATTACAATGGTTTTGTGTTTGTAAATCTGCCCTTGCGTTCAACAATTCAAATTTATTCAAGTATGATGCAGTAATAAATATTTTTTCCTACAGTCATCCGACAAAGTTGACTTCCTTGTACTGTTTATAGTACAGAAAGCTGCTAATTGCTGCATAATTATACTTTGTCGTACGGTTTATACTTTTTCGTACGGTTTATACTTTGGCGCATATCAGGGTTCCAACGAAACAACACAAAACAGCGTGGTTCTATTATGCACGTAATCTGTGTACGCTTGGAAATAGGTTGGTAACACTTAAATAAAAATAATACTATGAGCAGCTGATTGACTATTATAACTACGATTTAACCTGTCATTTCGTGTTTATAGTTTATGTTATATGAACTTTCTGGACTTTTCTTTTAAAGGTTTTTAAAACATTCCTACGATCTTAAAAAACAATAAAATACATTTAAAAGCATTTTTTTTTTTTGGCGCGGAAACCACTGCAAATTACAAAAACATTCGAAACTATTTTCTCAAGTTGCGGAGCACATTGCTTGCCGAGGAAAAAATAGCGGAGTGATACGGACCGGGTACTACTTTAATTTACCAAATTGAATAAAAAGTTTCTGTAACCACTTGAGAATGCCATATATGGCGAAACATATGTAGTGGACTTCAAACACTATATTTGAACTGCAAGACGAGGTATGTAAAGTTTAGTCTATACTACGCAGTTCAGAGGCTACAAAATGGAATTTAGTTAATATTTATATGCTTTATAGTGACTGTAGGAAAAATATAATGTGTAACACGAGTGCAAATGGCCTTTGCTGCACTCGAGATCATTCCGCACTCGCCTGTGGCTCGTGCGTAAACATTACTCTCGTGTGCAGCAAAGTGCCATTTTGCTCACTATTGCAAACTAATAACTATTGATTTGTTTATTGATTTAGTTAGAAAAAATTATGATTTCATTTCTAGAACTCAAAGTGTATTAAGAAGTCAATATGATAACAGATAACGATGAATGATATGACATGTGATTTTTTCAGTAGTTCACGTATCACTTTCATAAGAACCGTTTACCATTATTAAAAATGTTGCTATGGTTTACGCAATGAATTTAAATATGTACATTCCCTGACATATTTATATCTTACTTTGGTTTATTTAAAACGATTATAAATATACTGTACATTTGTACACTATCAGAAAAAGAATAATTATAATAACTAATTATATTCTAAATCACGTGAGAGGTATTATCAATTCTGAAGTCAGGGAAACAAACTCTGTATATTTTACATATTTCTATTAATTTTATTATTTGGAATAATGATTTTTTAATTTTTTTTTACAAACAAATGTACTTTCACGACTACTGATAAAGATTGCCCCCTTGAATTTTCGTGGACAGTCACAATTTACTTCTTGTTGCGCTTTCTAGGGCTGGGATGTGGTCGGAAAGCTTTTACCACTTCCTACTGGAGGACTGCTGAGTCCTATAGGGTGCTGAGGTGTACCCCTTGGGCGTGTACTTCTTCCACTAGTACTGGGCTTCGATGGGGGCTGAGATGAGCCCGGCCGCTCTGTGGCTGGTTCTAAACGACTACCATTTGAAAACAAATAAAACTATTAGTTCACGTAACGTAACTTAACGAAAAAAAGAGTCTACAAGAGAGAGAGATAAAAAATGTTGTTTTTTTTTTACAGACGGTTCGATTTGACGAACTCTTAAATTACCAAAAATACTATACGCTGCCTGCCAAAGGTTTGCTATTACAAAATGTCAAGAAAACTTTTATCTGTAGCATTTTAAATGCCGTATGAAACGAAATCAAGATAAAGATATCGAATAAAAATAACTTAAATACAACGGATTTTGGTGTAAAATAAGGCAAAGTTAGTCGGGTACTGAAACCGTTATTTAAACCAGGATTCTAGCAGGTAACCTAATACCACAAAACAGTTATTTGTTGATTGCCCTGTTATTTTGACTAATACGTTATATAGCGCCCATCCCAATTCGGGGGTTGGGGTGCACCTGATTTTGCATTATTTTAAACTGAAAAACGTGATATTTCAGTTACTTGTCTGAAAGTAAAAAATTACGTCAAGTACAACTTGTAATAAATATTGCACTACTTATACTTTTTACTCACAAGGCGGTAAATACACATAAAAGATTGCACGTGGTAATACATTTCGATTAGACACTCAAATCGTCACCAAACAAAGAAATATGTTTCCAATTCAATACGTTTTGAAAAACTGTAACGACATTTTTTAGTTCATATTCATGTTTATAGAAATTAGCTTTTGATAGTACGCGTGTGTCTGTAGAATAAGTCTAAACCCCAAAGGAGTATTTGGTCTAATATAATCAAAAGCAATTCGTGAAGAATTCGTGTAAGGCATACCTCTTTTTTTCCCACGGTGATTTTTTAAAGTCAGGACTTGCCTTCAGTTCACTTTTATGGCCGAATACCTTCACTACTTTTCCGGGAGAAACTTGGTATTCGATTTGGTCACCATTTGCATTGATGTTACGCACAAATTCATCACAGCTATCTGTTGCAAAGGCTTCCAGATATTCTTCATTACCTTGCTTGTACAACATCGCAAGAACGTTGAATTCCACTGGTTTGGGTTTTTCATCAACGGTGATAGTAAATGTTTTTCGGGGCAACAAACATGATAATCTGTTGGTTGAGGTAGTATATTCTGTTGCACGGATTACTTGATTCCCTTCATTGATGGGTTGCAGGTTTTCTAACAAAACTGTGTCTGGAAATAATATGAAAATCAATATGGCATATTTAATAAGTAAATTTTACTGCTATTGTCAATATAATCTGCATTTTACTTTTTCGTTTTAAATAATCGTTTAAAAGCATTTTACAATTTAAATATACAATTTAGACTGAAATTATTAAAACATAAACTAAATTAATTCTCTATGGGTTAATCCAATCCGTTTAAAGGTATGAGAAGTACAATATTGTACAGTATCAAATATATATATTTTTTTTAAACGTGGAAAAATAAAAATAAGAATTCATTACTGTCATGATAACGCAAGCACAAGCGAAATTAGGCAGAATGGTCAAGAAGATTTAAAAAACACCAAGACTATACAAGCAAAGCTTATACACTTATAATTTTTTGTATCAATATGTTTTGAGTTTGAGAAATAATGTGTAATTCCTTTATGAGCTGTTTTATATTAAACTGATGCTTTTTCAACCTATTTAAACCTAAAAACTTGTTACATAAAATATTAAAAATATTTTATAAATTGTTATCATTCAAGATCAAAACGGTAAAGTATTTAGTTTATTGGATGAACACGTTTGAGGGGAGAGTCTGCAAAGAAAACAATTTTTTAATTTATTAAAGTATTTTATTCAATAATAAAATTATTGAATCTTATTCAATATTAATATTATAATATTTAAATAAAATTTTATTAAATATGATTTATATTTTCTTTGTGAGTAATAATGCAATACTCCTGAAGTGGATATCAGTTTGAATGTCGAGCAGTTGCATGCATAATTAGCGTAAGCTAAAATTATGTATTAAAAAGGTGGGAACAAAAGGTTTTATTGTATGTTTTTATATTTTAGTCACAAATTAATAATAAAAAAATAAAATGAGAAATTTGAAAAAATTTATTTTTCCCATTTTAAGCGCAGACTCCCCCCTGAAAAGTCAATAGGTTAAAGCTTCTCTCATCAAAACATAATATAGTTCGATTATAAATACTTACTTGCAGCATTGCAAACAATCGGAAGGAGCTGAAAAAAAAAACACATAAACAGTTACCATATCTGTTGTGTTAGTCAAGCACATAACTTTTACACCAAACCTCAATTTGAAAGATAATTGCACTTACTGTACTTTGACTAAAAACACAACATACAACAATATGTTAGAAAATAACGGTTGGGATAAAAACAACCGTCAGTTAACGAAAGATCTAGCAACATTAGAAGAATACCTTAACTGTTGTCCAAGGCATACCTTGGGATGGTACTTTTGGTTAGAAGATTCCGTACTATGCCATTGTCACTACTCTTAATCTATAATTTATTTTCTTACGTACTATATACAATTTTCAGTAGTAACTTTTGCACTTTTTAACCAGTTTAATTACATCCTATCGTTCCTTTAAACCACAATCTCTAATTCATATATTTCACTTGTTTTAAGTGTCTACAATTTACAAAAACTGTGTTTAGTTAAAGCTATTCTTGCATGATATCCTTAAACAGTATATAAAAGCTTGAGAGGTAAAATATGGTAACACCTGAGACTAGCCCCTTAACCGCCACGCACGAGATATGCCGGGCGATACTAGTTTTCAGAGCAACCGCCACGCACGAGATATGCCGGGCGATACTAGTTTTCAGAGCAACCGCCACGTACGAGTTATCTCGTGTTGACGTAATCAGCTGTTGTGTTTTATTTTTAACAGCTCACTTCCCGCCTTATCTCTGATATACGTACGTAAACAAGTTGTTGACAGTGCTGCTTGACTAGTGCTTCAATCTGGTGGATTTTAGTGGTATTATAGGTCAGTAATGGTCCCGATCAGTTCCGTTCGTAGTTTCAGTAAAACTCGTGCTTGCGGAAGCTTACGTAATGCTTACGTACATTATGCGTGTCATTATAATTGCGATTTTTGGTGGTTGTTTACTTGGTAGTGTTGAATGAGTAGTAAATATTAGACGTAATGGCTGGTGACATGCTTGAGGATGACGATTTATTAGAGTTGTAGACTTTATTGTAGGCCTAATTTTTATTATAGGCCTAACTCAAGAAACCCCCGAACCCCCACCCCCCCCCCCCCCAATCTCAAATTTTAGTATTGTTATAGCTTAATGTTTTTGAAGATGTCTACAAACAATATTGATAACTATTTTCTAAAAAAAAACAACTTGTAAAATTTTTTTAATCACAAGTAAAAATCGTCAAAAAACGGCAAAAATAAGTGGCAATGGCGGATTTTGACTAGGCTACTTAGACGGCGGTTAAGGGGCTAGAAGGTAAAAATCAAAGTGATAAAAAAAGGTTTCTTAGAAAAAAAACATAAGTGGAACATGATTTGCATGAATTAATACATGCTTAAGAGATATAGAAAGGAAAACACATAGAAAAACTATTTCACGTTTCTTGAAAAAAAACTAACAATTTAATCAAAAAACAAAAACAAGAATATAACAAAATGTTAGAATAGTAACGAAAACTTAAGTAATTAGAAGGACCGGCATTAAAAATCAATAGAAAATTAAATCAGAAATCCCGATCAGTTATGTCAAAACTGTTTGTCTGTAATTTGTTGGTCACATAATCTCACAACAGGACTTCAAATTAGATTATAAAGTACGGTCCCTACTATGAAAAATATGGATCAATCTTTAATAATATTACAAAGTGTTCCGAAGAGAAGCGCAAAAAATTAAAGGCACAAACAACACAATATAAAACAGAAAGTTGTAAAGAATCAAGGCTTGGAGAAACGAGAGTGCAAGACTTTGTTTTTTAAATTATAATCGTGAAAATTAAAAATAAATTTGAAACATTAATTTGTTTCATCAATTATTAGGAACAAGAGCTAAAGAGAACTGTATTATTAATATATCATAGCGATAACAAACATTCGCTTAAGTTACATTATCAGAGGGTTAATTAATCTATACGGTCTTGTTTTTGGTACCTTGTAATTTAAATTCAGTTTTTAGTAAATTAATACCGACGGTTGAGTTTAATTCATTTATTTGTAACATATTTTTTCTTGCTAATAAACTATTTATACTACCTAAAAAATTAATTGTAACTTACCAATAAGAAAATTGTGCTCCAAACTGAAGCAGTCATTTCGAGAACCTGAAAGCGACTAAAAACACTCAAATTTATTTCGGTGAACTTTAGTTGAACACTTGTTGTGTGACTGACGTAAATATAACCCTTAATTGCTTGCATGGCACATCATACGATGGCAATATTAATGGTGTTTTAATGTTTACCGATTATGTATATGTGCATTTAAAGCTAAAGACACCAATTATATACGTTATGTTTAAAAATATGGCGTGATGGAGGGAGCATGAAAAAACTGTTTTCAAAACTATTCATTAAATATTTTTAAAGCAGTTGATAAACAATTCTAACATACATTTAGTAGATAACGATCATGTCGGTGACCATGTCACTTTTTTGGGCCCTTGTCAAGAGGGTCCAATATGGTAATGAGGTCATAAAAAAATTTAACACGAACTAGACAAGACATACGAAATAAATATTCACCTACAGCTGTGGCCAACATGTAACCGACACTACAAGTAGCCCATACAATAAAGGACCAAATAGTGCTTTGTTGAAACTAATTAGTGAAAGGCTGATTTTCCATGGATGTTAGTTGATCATATAATAAAGATTTTTTTAATCCCCGCCCCTCCACCTCTTGCTTTCCCCTTACTAACTTTTAAGTCAACATGTGTAATTATTTTTTATTTTATCAATATCTAAGAAACAAACAGAAATAATGTCATTTTTATTTCGTCATTCAATTCTGAAAATATAATTAACAAAAACATTATTTGTGCGAAATGGATACATTTTTATATTATAAGTTTAAATTTAACTTTCTTCACTTTAAAGTTTCAAAGAATCGTGTATGTAGTGAATGTGTATTGATATAAGCCAAGTTAGAGAAAAATGTTTCAAATACATAAGTTGGCGTATTTATCAATCTAAAAAATTATGAGTTTTATACATTTTAATTGCAGCCAGTGAACAGGATCGGTCCAAAAACATGAGACGGCGGGCGCAAGAGCGCTCGCGGTGCGGTACAATAGGTATAGTGCTGGCAAGTACAACAGTAGATGCAGCAAATGCCTATTGTTGAAATTTGTTATAACACAGCTGGTCTAAATATGGCCAATATAGTTACTCGTTTATTCGTATGTAACTAATAAACCCCTTTTGATTTGTACCCTTTGACTGTAATTACCCCAGTCTTTCCTAAACAGTACGCAAAATAGCTCATTGACGCTCTAGATCGGGAATGGTTCATTCCCAATCGCTATTTACCTGATTTCACAGTGGTCTTTTCAACACTAACCACAGCCGGGGATCCTAAAAAAGCAAACGCAAACATAACCTAGATGACATTTCATATACAACTTAATCTGTTAATCTTAAGTTAATCTGTTATTTTATATTAAGTAAATTGTGGCTGTATAAAATATATTGTGTGTATTACGAGAACAAGTCATTGCTTTCTTAAAACACAAACACCTCTTTTTCTTTTATAAAGACAAGGTTACAAAAATATTACGTTTAAAACATGATAAAAGACGTAAGTCTGGTTGGACTAGTGCGCATGTTAAAGACCTTGAAATAATCGTCCCCAGCTGGAGGTAATTTTTACGTGCGTCATAGCTGGCAGCTGCTAACAGAAGTGACATTATGTTACCTTGAAATTGAGATACAAGAATCTAGTTTTGAAGCAATGCACTGTACTGGATGACAAAAGTCCGTTTTATATGGTATATGGTTAAATATATTTAACATTCAATTTGTTTGCCTTTGGTTAGTGCGTTTAGTTTTGTTTATTTTTATTTTGTTTGATTCTTCAGGCTAGGTCTAACGGAGGTCGTGGCATTATCACT